GCCGGGGGTAGGTACTCCGCGGGGAGCCGAGGGCCAGGCCTCGGGTGTAACGGTTATCGCGCCGTTCGCTGGAAAGCCAGGTCTGGCGCGGGAGGTGTTCGCTCGTGCTGGGTCGCGCTCCTTGCATGCTGCGTGGACTGGCGGGACCGCAGAGCATCGTCAGCTGGAAGGGACGCGCAGGGATCGTCGAGCCCAGCTCCTGGCACGGGACGGCCCCCAGAGCCACAGCGTGCGCCTGACAGCCTTGTCCGGTGCTCCTTGAGCTCTGTTAGGTCAACCCGAGAGCCCTATCCAGACACTCCTTGAGCTTTGTCAGGCTGTGACCACCGAAGCCACCAAGACTGTGTCCTGCAGGGAAGGTTGTTCCCATGGCAGGACACAGTGCAGGACACCAGGACTGTCCTGCAGGGAGGGTTGTTCTTGTGGCAGGACACAGTGCAGGACACCAGGACTGTCCTGCAGGGAGGGTTGTTCTTGTGGCAGGACACAGTGCAGGACACCAGGACTGTCCTGCAGGGAGGGTTGTTCTTGTGGCAGGACACAGTGCAGGACACCAGGACTGTCCTGCAGGGAGGGTTGTTCTTGTGGCAGGACACAGTGCAGGACACCAGGACTGTCCTGCAGGGAGGGTTGTTCTTGTGGCAGGACACAGTGCAGGACACCAGGACTGTCCTGCAGGGAGGGTTGTTCTTGTGGCAGGACACAGTGCAGGACACCAGGACTGTCCTGCAGGGAGGGTTGTTCTTGTGGCAGGACACAGTGCAGGACATCAGGACTGTCCTGCAGAGAAGGTTCCTCCTGTGGCATTCCAAAACACAGTTCCATGCAGCTTTAATCAGCTATTCATTCAAAAGTTACTGTGTTCTCGCCCTGTGGATGTTTTCCCCTAAATTAAATCCTCTTGTTTGTTTCATGATCTGTTTCCAAACAGGGGAAGCCTTGTCTTTACAGTCCTCAAGGCTGCAAAAAAGTTCCCTGTGGCCTCCCCATCCATCCCTGTGTGAGTAGGCCAAGGGTGCTAAGCTTACTGCTGTTCCTGGTTAGATGAAGGAAGATGTTTCCCTAGTGGCACAAGCTGCTTTTCATAAATTCCTGGCATTAATTAGAGCGAAGTGTTAAAAGAGAATGAAGGGAAAAGAGCAAAATCCCCCTCCTTGCAGAGCCTTTGTCTCCCGTTGCTGTTGACAGGTTGTTTTCCAGATGCTATCTTTATTTTGGGTTGGATTGCGACTGCTCAGTGTCTTGCATGGGGAAGACAACGGCTCCAAACTGAATTCATTGCTCATCCAAGACACGTTCTTGTGCCTGGAGTTTGGATTCCTGCCCGAGCCGGGGCCTTGGGACGTTTGTTTGAAGCAAGTGCCACACCTCCGGGGAAGGAGGGAAGGCTGTGTGAAGGGAGGTGGGCTGCACACCCGAAGTTCTCAGTTCCTGCTCGTCAAGCAGTTAATAAGACTTCAAGGTTTGTGGCACAGCTGTGCTTGCTAGTAAGTGCTGTGCAGGGCAGATGCACAGTGTGTGGGATTACTTCACTCGCTGACGTTGGACGTGGTGAGGTCGACTCACTTGCGCTCGGTTTTGCCTTCTCAGCCTGACGAGGAGGTGCCCATCAGTATCAGATCTTGTCAGCACTGCCTGGAGCTCCGTGCTCGTTGCTGCCAGGCAGGATCGTTGCTTTCTAAGAACACCACAGGCAGGTTGTTTTTCAGCAGTTCCTGAAAACGCCTGCACTGAGGAGCGAGCTGCTTGGTGTCACAGCCGGTCCTGTTTAGCAGGCAGTGTCTCGCTCGGGCCCCCGTGTAGCTTTGGAGTGTGGTGGATGTGAGTCAGAGTGGAAAAACGTTCTAAAATTAGACATGCATTGTTAAGGATTTATTAAATGAGTTGCATCAGTGTCTTTTTACATTACCATTTTAACGGGCAGTTCTTTGTGCTCTCGGTATCGTTAGCTGACTAAAAAAGGGCTGGAGAGGCAAGAGACTCTTCTTGTCAGCACTTTTATGTCTGTGCAGACGCTAAAAGGTAAACTGGCATGTTTGCAGGTAAACCAGCCTGCTCAGATCCAGCCTCTTTGTTCTCTGGTTACCTGTGCTAACAGGACACCGGGGCTGTGTCCCCCGAGGAGAACAGGTGCATTGTGGAGTTGCTGCTCCTCACTTCAGGACCAAGGCAGAGCCATGATGTGAGAAGCATCTTAGTTTAGAGATTGTTATATGTTAGTGGCTGAAATGATGGCCCTACAGTGAGCTGGGTACAGACAGATGTGTGTGCTGCAGGACCAGGGCCCAGGGTGCTCCGTGTGCCCTATGACTTCTGTCATTACCTCTGTGTTAAACAAACTTGGTAAGTCTGTTAGATGTTAATGAAAAACTTAGGCAGCCTATCTGGAGAAGAAATGACTTCTCTGGTTTGCCTGGCAGAGTTACAGTTTTAAATCACAGAATCATATGATTTTAGGGGTTGGAATGGACCTTAGAGCTCACCCAGCCCCAAGCCCTGCCCTGGGCAGGGACACCTCCCACCAGAGCAGGTTGCTCAAGGCTCATCCAACCTGGCTGTGAACACTGCCAGGGTTGGGGCAGCCACAGCCTCCCTGGGCACCCTGGGGCAGTGTCTCACCACCCTCACAGGGAAAAACCTTTTCCTATTATCTAGCCTAAATTTCCCTCTTTCAGTCTGTACCTGTTGCCCCTTGTCGTGTCCCTGCAGCTCCTCACTGTCCTCTGCAGCTCCCGAGGTAGGATGAGGAGCCAATCCTCTGCAGTCTCAGGGAGTTGGGCTGGGTGAGAGGTGCACACCTGCCTTAGTGGGTGAGCCGCAGCATCGAGTGCTTTCTCTTTCTTTCAAGTTGCTCTGTGTGGAAGACCTGTTGTCTGGCAGCTCCGAGGAATGCCTAACGTTCCCAATTTGTGTTCCTTTCTATTCTCAGTGAGACTGGTCAGGAGAGAGACTGATCCCGTTGCTCTGGGGCAGGCAGGGCCGGCAGTGTGTGCAGAGAACCATGTCTGTTCGGGAGACGTTTAACCCCGAAAGTTACGAGCTGGACAAGAGCTTCCGCCTGACCCGATTCACCGAGCTGAAGGGCACGGGCTGCAAGGTGCCCCAGGATGTCCTACAGAAGCTGCTCGAGTCTCTGCAGGAAAACCATTTCCAGGAGGATGAACAGTTCCTGGGGGCAGTTATGCCCAGGCTGGGTAAGTGGTGCCACTGGGCACACCTAGTCCCTCCATTGCGGGCGTGGGTTGTTTGATTGGTTTGGAAGTTGTATGTTGCATAATGTATGCACAGCATCCAGAAATCTGAGCAATGAGTCTCCTGCTGTCATTTTTTGGCATCTGGGATACAGCAATAGGGTTTTAATTATTTAACATCCTGCAGTGGACTCAGCTACAAAGGAGGAACACTCAGGAGTGGCCAATGCGATGGGCATGTGCTTAGGTATGAGTCTGCTCCTCCCCTTCCCCAGGAAATGCTGTGCAAACTGAAGTCCTGGCAGTTCATTTCACAGACTCATAGGATTTAGGGGTTGGGATGGAGCTTAGAGATGATCCAGCCCCAACCCCTGCCCTGGGCAGGGACACCTCCCACCCAAGGTTTCCCAAGGCTTCACCCAGCCTGGCAGTGAACACTGCCAGGGTTGTCCTCAGACTGGACTTCAATATTAATACATCACATTTGGGATGTAATGCAGTGAACACAATGAATTTCATTCAGGTAGATGTCTCATAGGTGGTGTTCCCCCTTCCCTCCCCTCCATCCCTGGGTCACAGAGGGAGCCAGAGAACCTCCTTGCCTGAGCTGGCAGGGAGCAAATTGTCTCACAGCTGTTGTTGCTCCTTTCTGTCCCTTTGTTGTTCCGCACACTAACTCTTCTGCTCACCTGTGGAAGCTGCCTGGGAAGGGCTGCCTTCCTAAGACCTCTGTGTTCTTGCAGCTTCACTGTCCCGTTGGTATTTGCACAATGCTGCAGGCAGTAAGGGCAAACAGCCTGCACAGCCACCTGTGTGGGGAACGGGGCAAGCATAGGTATGCTGACACCAGCTGCTGTGCCTCGTGCTGCCAGAGATTAGTGAGTGTGGATTCTGTGCCTAGTGGCTCTTGTGGTTCTGTTTGCTTGCTCAGCCCTGCATCTTCTGTTTCCACTTTGCAGGGCAGAATGCTTTTTTTCCACCCTCAACTCAGGAATATCAATGGGGCATTTATTCTGAAACTACTTAATTATCAGTTGAGTGTCCAATAACCTTGTTTAGAATTGTTTGAACATCACTAATTGTCTGTTAGCAGGCTGACAGGTCTCCACCCATTGTTCTGGCAGAGGTTGAATTCAGTGGGAGATTAGTAAGGCACCCGTGTCCTGGTATAAACAATGGGCATCTTTGTGTGAAACGTCTAAGCTGCAATTGTGTGTGAGGCTGGGCTGGCACCCTGATTTCATATTCCCTGCTGAAGGACACTTCCAGCTTCCTTTATCTCCAAATGGCTGTTTATATGTGTTTTTCTAAATTAAATAAGATGTTCACAGCAGCATTTCAATCTGGCAATTTTCTCTAGCTGTAGTTTGGTGAGGTTTTTTCCTCTTACAAACTTAGAGGCTCCAAACAGTAATGGAACTGCTAATAGATGTTTCTTTTCCAGCTATAGGAAAAGGTAAATAAATAGACTTATGGCATCAGTGTGTAGGTGAGATAATATGTACCAGGAAATCTGTTAGTGAGGGCAGGTGGAGTGTTCAGGTCCTTTTAGAGTGTGCTGTGGTGGTATCCCTCAAACACTTTTTGGGGTAAGTGTGGTGTGATTTGCCTTCCATGCCTTGTGCTTGGAAGGAGTAGGCAGGTAACTGTTGATGGGCTGTTACTCTGCTGCAAAAAGAATGGAGAGCATTGCAGTTCAGTTCTTGCCTTCAGCCATTTACACTTCAGTTCCAACCAGGAGTTTCCCTCTTACTTGTGCTCTGTGTTTCCCGTGGGAGGAATTTGCTGTGTCCATTTAGGCAATGTTGCAGGTTGTATTTCACAGACACTTGTGTAAGTTCTCTTGTTCAGAGCAACTAAGGGCACAGTTCCTCCCCTCACCCATGGCTTTCTGTCATTGCAGGAATTGGCATGGACACGTGTGTTATTCCATTAAGACACGGAGGTTTGTCTCTGGTCCAGACAACAGATTATATTTATCCTATTGTGGATGACCCTTATATGATGGTAAGTTGGCTAAACGTCTTGGCTCTGTTGCTGATTTGTGCTTTTCCCCTGCCAGTCTGCTGGCAGCTTTGACCATTTCTCCTAGACGAGCAGTGCTAGTTGCGTGATTAGCTGAGTTCAGAGTCGTTCCTAAGTACACACTGGGGAAAGGCATGAGCTCATCCTGGAATCTTCCCTGTTGGCCAGGAATGCTGCAGTGCTGCTTGCTATAGGTGATAGCTGGGAGAGCTGCCACTTTTTATTCCAACTTCCCTTCATCTCCTGTTCTGTGGGATTTGGCTCCAAGAGCCTAGGAAGGGGATGATAAAGAGCAGCCTGTGAAGCAGCACAGAGTCAACTCCAGTGAGGAGCAGAACCACTTTGTGACTGGCCTGTCTCGAGGTACTGAAATCACCAGGTAATGTGTTAGGACTGGAAACACCTAAGTGTCAGGAGCTGGCAGCAGCACATGGCAACTTGAGAGAGCTTTGAGAGCACCTTGTTTCCCATCGTGCTGCCTCCTCTTGCATGTGGATAAGGTGAAATGACTTGGAAACTCTGTGCCCTTTGGCTTCGTTCCTTCTGTTAATTCAGGCCATTTCAGTGTGGTGGTCTGTGTGGCAGTGATCAGTGTTGAATTGAACAGAAGATCACAGGGAGATAAATGAACTTTAAAAAAGAGTTTATAAAGCTGCAAGGAAATGTGAAATGAAAGTGAAGAAGTGCCCGAGTTGATGTCCCTGTGGTTTGGACATGTCTCCTTTGCTCTGGGACCTGCGTTTGCCGCCGTTGTGGTGACTCCATGCGCTCCCTGCGGCTGTTGGGTCTCTGTGGGACCTGCCAGGGAGGTCCCACACACGCAGTCTGAGCCTGGCACCAGCTTGGCTCTGGTCCTCAGCATGCTTGCCCAGGTGTGGTGCACACAGGCAGGCCTAGCTCCTTTGGTTTCTGCTCCAGAAACTGAGCAGCCAGAATCTCACACTGGCCTCTGGAGCGTGGAGTTGTTGAGGTCTCCTGAGCAATTTGATTTGAGTGGGGAGCTGTAACGTCGTGTGAGAACTTGTCAGGGATCAGAGGGGAAATGAAAAGTGGGTTTGGAGATCTGTGTTGAAGTTCATCTGAGAAATTCTTTTCCCACCCTGTAACAAAAACTTGTGAGGGACAGCGTGAGAAGGCTGTGGAGAAGGCAGGGGGTTCTGTTTGGAGTCACAAAGGGTCCGAGGTGCTGCAGGAGTGGACCAGAGGAGGTTCAGGCCGGCGTGGTAGGAGTGGGATGTAAATTTGGCCTCGGTCAAGCTTCAGTGGTTGCATCACAGTTAGTCTCTGCTGTGATCCACATGCACCAGCAGCTCTGGTACAGTCTGACTCCCAAGGCCTTCACTTTTCACTCCTTCCCAAAAGCTAACTGAGAACGGGCGTTCTGTCCCGGGCCTGGCAGTGATGGTCCAGCAGGGTCAGAGCTGCTGGGTCCTCTGCTCAGACCTCTCTCTGCTGAGGGCTCGAGTGCCCGAGGGGCAGTGCAGAGTGCCCTTCCCTGGTGGGTTAGAGCACAGTCACAGTCTGCCCCAGGGCTTATGGCTGGTTGCTGTGAGCAGAGGAGTGGTGAGACTCAGGAATGCTGAGTTTGTGTCCAGGCTGTAAAAAGGAGTGTGCTCTGGACTCCTGTGTTCAGGGCAGGCTGCTGCTGCCCTGCTTCCCCAGCTGCTCCTGTCCCTGGGCCAAGCCTGATGTCCCCTGGTCCTTGTTCTTACTACTCTCTCTCATCATTATCACTCATGTGCAGTCCCACTCTGCAACTCGCTCTTCACTCACCTTTCCTAGTCAGTTCCAGTCTGGCTTTGAGCAGGTGTTCTTTGATACAGAGCCTCTTCTTTCTCTGCACAGGGTCTGCCTGCAGCTCCTTGCCTGATCTCTCTTCCTAGCTGGAGGAGAGGGAGCACAGAGGGAAAGCCAGAAGTGCAAATGGCTCCAGGCTGGGTGCTGTGACAGAAGGGATTAGAAAACAGCTGAGGAAGGCAAAACCACGTGTGGACTCAGCTGAACTTCCGATTTCTGCTTCAGAAACAGCTTTCTGTCACTGCCTATTTTAAAACTAAGTTCTGCAGTTACATGCAAAATCATTCGTGCCTCTTCTCCCCTTTTTCCTTCTCTCTGTCCTTGGAAACACTCGGCCCATGTGCAGAATTCCCCCAGGATGTACACCTGTCCAGCACAGGGTTTGTTCACCTGCAGTGGCTGGTTTTTAGAGAGGCTACAAGCAGCTGCAGGTAGGTCTCATCCTGGGAACCAAGGCCCTGGTGACAGGGCTGGTCCTGGGCCCTGTGGTGGCTCTGTGGAGACACCTGGTGAGTGCAAGGGCAGGAAACTGCCTGGTTTGAAAGGACATCCTTCCCCCTCCATTCCAGGAGCCCTCCTGTTGCTCTTTGAAGAAGAGCCTCCACTCAGGGCTGGAGATGTGTGTCTGACTTCTCATGCTGTGCCCTTGCAGACAGGTGTTAGTGTCTGGGGGGACAAAGTGGGCGGGTGGGCTGCAGCACCCAGCCAGGCTGACCCTGGTGTGAGCCTGGGCACACTCTGCTCTTGCAGGCTCGAGACTTCCACTCGGGGCTTTGGGAGTTGGCAAAAGCATTGCTAGACTGACCTCTGCCTACCAGAGCTGTGGTCAGGGTGGTTTGAAAAGTTAATCTGCCATTGCTAGCAGGGCCCCAGCCAGCAGCTTGCTGGGTAAATAGTGAAGATAACACAGGATGGTTTGATAGCTCCTTCCAGGGAAGGGAAGTGGCATGTAGAGACTCAACAGCCATTCTCCATCAAACCATGCAGGACACAGCTTGTTCTTCTCTTAATAGTTCAAGATTTAATGATAAGGCATATTCCAGTTCCACATGTAAGGGATTCCCCTGATGCCACTGGAAGCTCTGGAATTTCTAAACCACTGGATTGTGTGTTGTTGTGATTTGGGGATGTAGTTCCCTGCCATCAGCAACTGAGGTAACTGCCTGAAAATAGTGCTTTATTTTTGCAGATTGTGTCCAATAAGCATGTTGTGTTTATCATGGTACTTCTGGACATTGTGAAAAGCACAGATTTAAAGTCACAAAACCAGATATTGGTTCCTGTCCTGCAGCTGTAAACCTAAAGCAGCTTTCACAGAATGCATGGAGTTTTCCAGGGTAACACAGCAGGATTTATCCTGTCCTCTTGCTGTCCCTTAGGGCACATTCTGTGTCAGGAAGTTCTGCATCTTCATCAGGAAACTTGGTGTCTGGTCCGTGCTGGGTCCATAGCCCAGAAACAGTTAGGGTAGCTAAGCTCATGTGGCACAAGTGATGTCTTCTGAGTCCTGTCAGCTTCCTGACTTCTTGGGGGGATCTTCTGCAGACAGCCTGTTCTGTCTCCTGTGTGAATGTTTGCTGGTGGAGAGACACATACACGACAGGCAGTGAAAGTGCTTGTGGTGAAATTCAGCCCCATCTGGTCACCTGAGCAAGGGACAGAGCAGAAACATCTCTCCCTGCACGAGTGGCAGGGGCAGACACCTCCCACCTCAGCTCAGGGTCTGTGTGCCCCAAGGTGAGGCTCAGCCACAGCCGCTGGGAGCCCTGAGCTCCTTCATCCCTGGCACACACTGTCATCCTCAGGCAGCTCCCAACCCATGTCCGTGCAGAGAGCCCTGGTGTGGCTGTGTCCTCAGGGAGGAGGAGTGCTCTCCAGACTGAGGAGTGCAGACATGGTCCCCAGGGGAGTGCAAGGAGCACACAGCTCTCTCGCCAGGGTCCCTGGCTCCTGTGTGCTCTGGTGCAGAGGAGGTACAGCAATGCAGAGTCACAGCATCACTGAGGGTGGAGGGACCACAATGTTCATCTGGTCCCACCTCCTGCTCCAGCAGGGCCAGCCCAGAGCACATGGCTCAGGGTTGTGTCCAGAGGGGTCTGGAACACCTCAGTGAGGAGAATCCACCACCTCTCTGGGCAATCTGTTCAGTGCTCAGGGACTGCACAGCAAAGAAGTTCTTCCTGTGTTCATGTGGAACTTCCTGGGCATCAGTTTGTGCTGTTCCCTCTTGTTGTATTGGTTCCCCCACTGAGCAGAGTCTGATCCTCCTCTTGGCACCTCCTGTTCATGGACTTGAATCCATTCCTGAGGTTCCTCTCAGTGTCTCTTCTCGAGGCTGAACAGCCCCAACTCCCTCAGCCTTTCCCCATCCCTGAAGTGCCCCAGTCCCTGCCTGGAACATGTTTGAGTTAGCTTCCCAACTGTTGTGAATTCCATACTGTGGTCATCTTCATCAGGATGTGCAGTTTTGTGCTGGGATAAGTTAACGGGAATGTATCAGATGAGGTAAACTGAGCTCGTGATCAAAGATGGACTTTGTTGAGCTTAACTCCAGCCTGTCAGCTTGGGCATCCAGACTGAACTCTGGGATTCCTGCAGTCAGGGAGAGAGTGTGTTGGGGTGAATTCTCCCCACACCTGTGAAGGGCAGGACACCTGCACTTCCGGGTGGCACGTGGCACCAGGTGGGTGCAGCACACCTCTGGCTGTGCTCTCTGGCAGGAGCCTGTGGAACACATCTCAGAGTGCAGACACACTGGAAGTTGTGTTCCTGGCAGGTGTTTAAGCATTCCCCAACAGTCATGCAGATTTTGTGTCTGTCTCTCTCTTTCAGGGCCGGATAGCATGTGCCAATGTCCTAAGTGACCTTTATGCCATGGGGGTCACAGAGTGTGACAACATGTTGATGCTCCTTGGAATCAGCAATAAAATGACAGATAGGGTAAGATTTTTGGCACTTGCTTTTGAAGGAAGGACCCAAACAGCTAAACGTGCTCAGAATGTGTTTGCTTTTAGTGTGTTTTCCCCTCAGAGTTCAAACGCTTTTAACGAAGAGCTGCTGGATTGAATGGCTCAGCTCACAGTACAGGTGGTGCCTCATGAGCACTCTGAGGTCACGTGCTGAAGGTTCAGTTTTCTGTGGCATTGTAATCTGCTACCTTCACCCCCTCAAATGGGGTCCCTGTCCGTGTCCATGCAGGACGAGGCTGCTCCAGGGCACCAAATGGGGTCCCTCGTCCTGTTCTGCTCCAGGGCACCAAACAGGGTCCCTCCCTCTGTCCATGCAGGATGGGACTGCTCCAGGGCACCAAATGGGATCTTTCCCCCTGTCCTGCTCCAGGGCACCAAATGGGATCCCACCCCTGTCCTGCTCCAGGACAGCATCTGATTGCCAAGTCACGTGTCAGTCTGGAGAAAGAATTCTGGGATGCTTTTGCTTTAAGTCACGTGTCAGTCTGGAGAAAGAATGCTTTTGCTTGCTTTTTGTCATTATTATTTCTGTTTTGTGGAGGTGACCAGAATGGGTTTTGCTTTGCTCCAGCCAAAACAGGGCTGGCTATTCTTAGAAGGATGTAAGCTGAAACTTTGCTGCTCCGCAGAGGCCAAGTGCAGCTGAACTTTGCCTCGTGACGCTGCACTGCTGTGGCTGTACCTGGTGACAGCAGCAGCAGAGTCGTTCAGAGTTTCCAGAACTCTGGTTGTTTTATCTGACCTTTGAAGAATGGTTCTTCAGTGTGAGAGTGTCTTTTCCATCCCTGTTACACAGAGCTCTGTAGAGTATCCATAACTCTGGATTCAGGAGGTCAGACTGTCCTAGGGCTTTCCTGCCCTGAGCTGCTTGGCTTGCTGCTGAAAGCCCTGGGCCAGTCTGGAAATGACTAGCACTGCTGTGTATGGAACTCTGACTTCTGTTTTGATCTCTAGGAAAGAGACAAAGTGATGCCTCTAATTATCCAGGGTTTCAAAGACGCAGCAGAAGAGGCAGGAACATCTGTTACTGGTGGGCAAACAGTGTTGAATCCCTGGATTGTGTTAGGAGGAGTGGCCACGACAGTCTGTCAGCCCAACGAGTTCATAATGTAAGTTGAATGGCAGAGCAGTGCTGGCCTGAGCAGCCACATCTCCTGTGCTCCTTTGGAGTTTGAAACAGTGTCCCTTCCCTCCTCCCCACTCCCAGTGTCTTCTCCTGCTGGCAGGAGAGTTAAGCTTCTGATTTTTTAAAGTATTTGAGGCTGTTTTGAACATAAATGTGTCATACTTCTACGTGCTTTTTTAAAGCATCTCCCAGTTAGTCTGTGAGTGGCTGCAGAGCTGCTGTCCTTGCAGCATCTGTGCGTTCAGCAGCAGCTGATCTGAAACCTGCACAGATGAGTTTGCTCCTGCTCCTGGTGCTGGGTGTCATGCCCTGAGTGGCAAAGGTCATTTCCCCCATCCTCTCCTGTGGAGGAGATGTGATTTTGTGTGTGTGACTGCAAACACTGCTCTGATCTGAGAAAGAGGGATTAGCACTTTGCTCTGTAATATTGCATGGCAATGGGTTCCAGAGGGTCACTCTGCAGTTAGCCAGTTTTAACTGTGCAGTGAGATACATGGGGCTGGGGAAATGTAATTATCAGCACTTGTTCCTACACCCTGTGAGAGTCCCACCGTGTAATTAATGTATGAATTCTTTGTTTCCAGGCCAGACAATGCAGTGCCAGGAGATGTGCTTGTATTAACTAAACCCTTGGGAACACAAGTGGCTGTGGCTGTGCACCAGTGGCTAGATATTGTGAGTACACTGCCCGAAGAAAATGGGGAGGAGGGGTGTGAGTTAAAGGTGACCTTCCTCATGCCCTCAAAGGACAAAGTTCAGCTCAGGTGGGAGTGATCTACCATCTCTGTCTCCTCCTTCCTTACCTGCTCTTTGGGAATTGAGGCAGTTTGCTGTTCTGTGCTGGGTGAGCCCTTCTTAACTGCACCCAATCCTGAGCTATCTCCCAGGCCCTGCTGTAACAGTTTGCTAACAGAGCTACAGACGAGTGCCGTGGGTGAAGCTGTGCCCTGCTCCACGTGCCAGAGTGACTGGCAACACTTACTGGTAGCACTTGGGCCACGAGTGCTGTCTGTGGCCAGGAACTCTGTGCTCATGTGCGTGGAAATGTCTCCGTGTCTCACATGCATTTCCCCATGCAGTCAGTGAGTGTTTCTGCAGCTTTGTGTGTGCAGACACTTCCATCTGTTACTCCAGGCAGAGATGTAACTACTGAACTGAAAAGCGACTGCAGAATTGGCATCTGCTGATGCTGTCTGGCTCCCAGAAAGTGTCTTCGGGATTATAACTGCTCAGTTCACACTTTACAAAGATGCATCTCTTCTACTTTTGGGACTACTGAGCCAATAGACTGGCAGTGGAGGGAGCTGGAACCCACTTCAGTTTGGCTCTTGGCCACTGCATTGTCAGATGAATTCTAATTACACAACTCATGTTAGAAAAGTGGGAGAGAACCAACTCTGCCCTGATCGAGTGCCCAGGTGTGAATGACAGTGCTTAAAGCTGCTCCAGGTGTAACAGACAAGTCAGTTGTAAAGGAATTATGTGCCATTAGAATCACAGAACCATCAGGGCTGG